AGAGAGGAAAAGACCGATGAGCCCAGAATGCACTGCTTATTAGAACGAATTCATTTGGGTACTTCGTATAACCTATCCTTAAGTTTTTATTTGCATATCATTCGCAAATTGGTCAAATATCACCACGTTCCATAACTTCTTGCATTCTGAATAGTGTCTCTAACGTTCTTCTCACAGTTCTCTTCTTCGGTTGCTTTTTCCAGTGCCCCAAAATATATTGCTGCTTTTCTGAACTCGTTTACTGATATACTACTTATATTCGATTACAAGTAGCACTAACCATAAAAGTTATTCTAAGGTGTGTAAATTTCTTCCGAAAGAGAATTCTACACACAAAACCTGGAGAATATGTATGACGCAACACGGTAGTATGAGAAGTAGTTATTAAGGAATGTAGATGTCATTGGGCACTTTAAATGAAGACGACTCGTCCTCCAACAGTAAGCACCTTCTGCTTCACTAAGCCACGAAAATGTCAGAAGACAAAACTGACCTGCAAGGTTAACTTTATTCCAAAAAACAGAATCATATTGTAACGGCAGAACGCAAGAGTATTTGGCAATGGGATTATTTATTGTCAACTCGATATACAGATCATAGCAAATACATCATCCACTATACACTGAAATCACAATTAGCAAATGTCTTCCTTATTGTGCCTCTCTTTGTCATCCTTTCATGTCTTCTGAGTTGGTTTATAGTTATCGTCTAATTCATATCTCCACTATTCGACAATTTTGCAGATGATACACATATTTATATCTGTATCTATATACTACTACCTATAAGTCTTGTCAGTAGCACACACCACAGAATATCTAAGTCTTCGTACAGATAATTACTCTAGATCAGTCAGGTATTCAGCAATTCATTCTGATCGGTTGCACGAGCCACTAAAGTGTCCGATAAAGTTATACTGTCTGTCCAACTAGCAACATAAACCTCATTTTGCAATACAAATCTACTCGAGCAGCTTATGACTTAAAATATTGATTTCAAATTTAGCCACTGTCTATCTCATTGTGTCATCAGATGTGATATGATCACTCTGAAGTATAAAATCTATTTTGCGAAGATCAGTGATGGAAAGTACGCAACCAAATAAGACAGGAACAGACAGCTAGTAGTTGGGAAAGAATTTCATCGGAAGCTGGTGATTTTATGACGTTTTGTAACGAACCAACATCAATTGGCGAACTTTTGAAAATTAAAGAAGGTTAAAGAATCTGTCATTTGGCACCACATGATTTCTGTTGCCTACTATGGTTTAGGGTGGAATAAGACATTAAGATAAATAGCATTACGTTTCAATGCCATCACTTAGATAAACAATTAGTCATTAGAGAAAATAACAAGAATTGCAAACAGAGTATTATCAATAGTAATATGGTTTAGGGTGGAATAAGACATATAAGCGAACAATATTCTTTTCAATTAGAGCTTCTTCAGGCTTTACTCTAATTTACATAGATTTATATATAAAAAATCTTTAACCAATGACGGTGAGTTTGTGGATCAAGTAATAATAATCATAATGATTATAATGTGGAAATGTTTTGAAGATTATTTATAGCGATGATTATAATGAAAACAAAATATTGATAATAGGGTTTATGCAGGTGGCGATAAGAATAACAAAGTTAGTAATATGTGTATATGTAGACAATTAAATAAATACATTAGCTAATTTGATTGATAGCGGTCACCAAGTGGACAAAAATAGTGCCTTCAAAGTTATCTATCGCATTCCATCGAGCCTTTCAAGGGGAATTCGAACCCGCCTTTTATACATAGCCGAAGCCATGGGAATTAATTCGACGGAACAATCCTAGTGTCTTTGCTTACAACAAAAGAGATTTTTTCTACCCTTGTCTCTCCCTTGCTTAGCCCAGGCGAATTGGGTGAATTCTATTCAAAACCCTGCCATCTTCTCTTATTTACCATCTTCTTCGTACTTTTATGATATTTACTTAAACTCTGATTATCCCTAACTTCACCTACAATATTACATAACTTTTAAGATTTGACCTAATTCATTTATTTAATTGTCTACATATACACATATTACTAACTTTGTTATTCTTATCGCCACCTGCATAAACCCTATTATAATCATCGCTATAAATAATCTTCAAAACATTTCCACATTATAATCATTATGATTATTATTACTTGATCCACAAACTCACCGTCATTGGTTAAAGATTTTTTATATATAAATCTATGTAAATTAGAGTAAAGCCTGAAGAAGATCTAACTGGAACCAATATTGTTCGCGTATATATCTTGTTCTAATATTAAAAATGGGAATATTTAAAGATTAGGGTGGAATGTAAATTGACGTTACGTAACTTGTGTGTATGAATCATTACCAAATTATGTATCTGATTATATTTTTTGACAGTAAAAGGATTTTCTTGTTATCGCTTAAGTAAAGCACTAGCCAGCCTGGTTAGTAAAGGAACAACGCAGACGTGTAAATAGCTCGGTAACCGAACAGCTGGTGAGTTCAGGTGGCTTTGAACACTCCTTCAAAGTCATATACAAGATACAATCAAAACTACCAAAGGGAGTGAGATCAAGGCATTCGGGAACACTTGACGAACACACTAGCGATCCGAATGTTCAAGCCAATGCTATGTATCCCAAAAGAAATATGTCTAACTTCAGTCCCTACAATGTCCGTCATTAACAGTCAATTCTCTCAATAGCGATTATCCTATTACCTTTCTTATTCAAACTTTTTGGTTGTTTCTTTAATTTTCCTTTTTTTCAGTCCCTTCTGCACTATTATGAACCTACGTTTTTGTCCGATCTTACTGTTTATTTATTTATTATTGTATTTCAATCCCAATTTGCCATCTTATTTCTTTAACCCATGATCAGAAATAGTTTCGGAATTTTCCCACTCATTGACTATAAATATACAACTGTACAGCCTAGTTGACGATTTCGTCGTCACTGCAACCATCTTTACAATATTTCTTTTGATCTACTGTGTATATTCTGTGACTTAGAACATAAAACTGTGATCTTTAAGAGGTAATTTATTGATTTGCATACTCATTTATTGATACACATCAAGTCCTTTCCCTGTTTTACTGATTGTTGCTTCTATTCTCGTACCTCAACTGGCAAAAAGTTGGAGGTCACTGATTAGAAGTCTGTTGAGACTTGTGTATTTCTCTTCTGCATTCAATTATAGTCAACAGTAGTCTGCTAATCGAAAACTAATTTTCTAGTGGTCTCATTATAAACCACAATCACACTTCTTATCCTCTATCAGGCCTCTAATGGTCACTTGTTGTATGTAGACGAGAAACTAATCTAGTAAGAAGGTATTATATTGAGTGCTAATTAATCACCAATCAAAATGATTGATTAATGCATATGCAAACTTCGATTTGACTATAAATTACTCATGTTGAGTAATAACTCCTTGACTTGCTTCGCCGCTGCTAGTAGTAATAAATAATCTCTGAAAAACCTCCAGTTGTGTATGAGATTTATTACTCTAACGTTGTGAATTTCTCCCGAAAGAAATCCGAAACGATAATCCAAACTATAGATTTAACCACACGTACAGTGACGCGTAAAGTCCGAAATACGGGATATGCTGCAATACGGTACTTTGTTACATAAAAATATATGTATAATATACAAACCTCAAAATGTGAGGTGTCTGTGGCTAAATGCCGTCAAATGCACAACCACTGTGCAGTCAATAAGTAAAAACAGCAATGCTGTGTCAAGGTCGATCCACGTGTTGGTTCAAACGGCCCGCGAATGCCAAGCAAAGGATAAACAAATATGAACAAACAACTTTCAATAGTAAAGCATACACTAAAGGGTTAGGTCAGCAAATAATGTTTAAGGAGAAGAAAAATAATAACTATACATTAATAGAATGATTATAGAACAAGTAATTTAACTGCACTTGTAAGCAAATGTCGTTGTTATAAATTAACATATAAAAATCATACTACTTACTAATGGCAAGTAGTGTAATGTTGAACAAAGGAAAGATTGAGAATAAACAGGTAGGAAAGGAATTAACAAACGTACTGTCTCCTTATTCTTTTCATTTTATTATCTTCTTCTGTTACCAAAATGCTCCTCCAAGTCAACGCCTCATTTTTTCATCGCTTTCTAGCATCTATCATGGTTTCACGATTGCTGAAATCAGTCTATTTTAGACTGAATTTTGTTATCTTAAGTAAACTAATGTATAGTTCCTTGTGTATGAACTATGGTAAGTACATAAACCTATAGCGAAGCTGCTTATTTTGATTTCAAATGATCGTTGACAACTCTCAGCACGGACACAGAAGGCTAGTTTGGCATATGCCAATTTACGCCATCTGTGGCTTAATAGACGTGATATCCGGCTATCAACCAAAGAGCGTGTGTACTGCCGAGCAGTTCACTCTGGCCTCGTTTATGGCTCTTGGAAGTGGAAGACATTAAAAGGTTAGCTGTCTTCGATCATAGGTGTCTTTGTTAGATAATATAACACGGTAATATTAAGGTTAAGCGTCCAGTGTTGGGTAAGAAGGGAAAGTCGATCGATGTGGTTGCGAAGCTACATCGATTGAGACAGCTGGGACATGTGTTATGCATGCCTAGTCATTGCCTTCCTCGACAGTCAATGTTAGCTGACAGCGTATCAGGTTGGAAAAGAGAAAGCTAGTGGTGGTCAAACCAAAATATGGCTTCATCAGTCAACGAAATCTATAGCAGTTAGCTTAAGCGACGCCGGGATGTGTAGACATTCGATAGCTTGTTGAATACTGAACAGTGTCTCTAACATTCTTCTCACAGTTCTCTTCTTCGATTGCTTTTTCCAGTGCCCCAAAACATGTTGTCACTTTTCTGAACTCCTTTTCTGATATACTACTTATATCTGATTATAAGTAGCACTCACCACACTACTACTGCCTAAATTCTTAACAACTTCGAAAATTGAAAAAAAGGTAAAAAGAACAAACAACAAAAGACAATTTCTACTTTGTACAGCAAGTTGTATTTACAGCAGCACCTGTTTCTTCACATGTTAAACACTTTTTGTTAGTCGTTTTTATCATTTCCACTGGTTTTTTATTCAATTTATGATTTGGTGTCCATGGGCCTAAACTTTGATTAGCATAATAATCCATTGGATAAGCTTCAGATAGGTCTTTAGGCCAATGAACTTGTCCATTTAAAGCAACAAATGCTTCATATGGTGTAAGCAATGGTTTAGTAAATTCAGCACCCCAATCAATACTGAGACGAGGACATGCAACCTTAAATTAAACAAAGGGATAGACTATATGCCGAGTATGTATGTGTGTGTGTGTGTGTGTGTGTGGATATATGCATTTATGAAGCAAATAAATTTCAAATAAAGGCACAATTGACAAAATTTGTTAATTTTACCATTTACTTATAGTTCTAAGTGTCTATCTAGATGGGAATGCAGTGTCTTTTTTTCACATAAAAAGAACTACTTGTTTTTCTAAGTCATATTCTACAATTAAGTGTGCCAGAGAACATCATTTTTATTCAAACAAACGTTTGGAAGTTTTTAGATAAGGTTCCAAAGAGAATCCGATTGTTACGAGTGCAGGATTTATCCAGTGTGAAAATTGGCTGATCATTAAGAATTAAGAATTTATAACTTAATTTTCAGGATATTAATCAACTGTTACAGATATTCAAACAACTGTCATCCAAGTTTAAAGTTTACTCTTGAAGTGGAAAAAGGAATCTAAAATTCCTTTTCTTGATGTTGGGACTTACAAGAAGAGTTGGCGGAACTGTAAGAAGGAAACCCAAATAGAACAACCAACTAACAAGTTTCTACAGGTGGGTACCAATTAGTCGTACACGAAAATTAATTATATCTCTTGCTACTGGTGTCCAACACATTTGCAGTCCTGATGCTCTGGAAGCAGAATTACACTTTCTGAAAGAAATCTTTATGCTAAACAGATATCCGCCAAGATTTATTGGAAAGAACATCAAGTCGAAAATTCATAGACAAGAGACGCGATTCATCCCAGAAAAAAGAAACTTTACATGAACCTCAACTTCACAGGTGACCTACTCAGTGATATCTTTAAGGCGGGGGAGGAATTTCGTCTTCTTTACGAAGAACTTTCTTCGTAGCAACGCTGAAAGCAGTGTTCTCTAGTAGCCCAGAGGACAAGATCTCGCCTCTGACCACTTCTATGTGTGTATACCAGTTTACCTATTGCTGTGGAGCCAGGTGTATATTGGTCGTTCGACGCGTATCCTGTTTGAAAGCGTTCAAGAAAATTATCCCACATTATTAGTCTGTCTACCCCGAACAACCTCCTCACTGGTGCAGTCATAGATTGACAAGTACCCCTCACATGTTACCTCCAACTCTCTATATCAATTCACATGTATCTGCGGGAGCAGTTACATTGGAAGAACAGAGAGGATGGCCTACCTCAGATTCTGCGAGCATGTACCAAGGGGCCTCCAGTTAAAGGGACCGAATTGTTTAAGCTCTTCAATCGCCAAACACCTGATTGATACAGGACACCAAGTAGATGTACTGCGTAACTATTACTAATTTTCCTTTGTTACCACCCTAACAACACAACTGTTAATTAATTTTTTTGTTCAAGAAACTTCTGAAAGTGTTTTGTTTCAGTGTACTAGTAATGTTAAGTAATTTGATGGATGGTGACAAGCAGTGGAATCCACAGTGCGTATTTTGTCCTACTTGGGACTTATCAGCTAGATGTGTCTGTTTCTATCTCCAGTATCTGAACAGTATTCCCACTATCATTTGAACCCAGTACCCTTCATTTCAAACGTCAAAGCGTTATCCCACTGGACCATTCAGGTCGTGAGAGCCACCAATTGCGCTGGTAATGATTGTTGTTTATTGTGTAATCAGAGGAGGAAATTTGACAAGAACACAAAGTATGCGAAAATTTTCTAGTTAGTGAAAATTTGTTTTAAATAATAGTAGTAATTAACAATACCAAAAATACTAACCTGAATCCAAACATCCACTTGTTCATCGAAAAGAGCTAATTTACTTGGACTTATTTCAGACAATAGTAATATAATGTATGTTTTATTAGATTTTTCCAATTCTGTTTGAAGTTGCTTTACAACAGCTGGTGATCCTTGTCTACCTAATGTACCTATTTTGCAATAGAAAGTAAAGAACCAAAAAGAGGTTTAACTCCCATTAAGGAATGTTTAGTGAATATGAATACACTTTCACCTTTAATATAAAACATAAAACAATGAATATTGAATTAAATAGAATCAAAGCACATTGATACCGCCGAATGGCATCGCACGCCAGACCCTCAAGTGGAATCCAAATGGGAGGCGATGAGTGGGTCGTCAGTGCAAGGGTGACATGGAGGAGATCGTGTGAGGAAGAGATGAGAGAGTTTAGTCAATCGTGGACCCAGGTGAAGAGGACGGCAGAAAATCGAACAAAGTGGAGATGTGCTGTTGAAGCCCAATGTCCCACTCGGAGCGCAAGGGAATAATATATATATATATATATAACATTGAAATTATTTAATACTCAAGAAAAATAATACAGGAGGATGAAATGTGAACAACAAAGATATTATTGTATATGAGCCATTTACTGAAAGAGACTAAAATCGTCACCTGTTTTGGCACTGAAATAGGCTTAATTACATTGACAAAATAAGACGCATGTGTATGTGTAAGTTCCTGGTTGTGGTTGATAAAATAACAGGATAGCTTACGAAGATTTCAGCATACGATATCATCTTAACTGCAATGTTTCCGACATATGAGTAGAAATGCAAACGTTAGGATATTTATCTATACAGGCGGTGCAACTTATGTATATATTGGATGGAGGATTTCATCATGAGCTCATATCAGTTAGAGAACCACTGGAAAACCTGGGAGTACTGAACAGCTGTTTCGTCCCAGTTTGGGGCTCTTCATCAGCACGCACCCAGCGGGGTTCGAACCCAGGACCTTCTGGTTACAAGGCGAGCTCAACAAAACAGCTATCCAGTATTCCCAGGTTTTCCAATGGTTCTCTAACTGATTTCAGCTCATGATGAAATCCTCCATCCAATCAGACAAATTCCCTACAAAACTGATACTTGAAAATTATATATATATATATATATATATACTAGTCATTGGATGCTGACTGTGACATAGTTGTCAATTCTTCAGTGCTAAGAGTTGTCGATTAATTTTGTCATATAAAATCTTAACCTACTTGACACAACATTGTCGTCTTATAATGTATTTCAATGTTAATTATAAGGAATCAGTCAGCAACAAAATCTTAAATAATTCATGTTTCCTACTTATTGGTATTTATCGATAGGGTATACATATGCAGCTTTGAATAAGTTGGTGTTCACTAACATCAGCCCTAATAGACTGAGTGCTGACCAAATCTCAGCATGGATATGAAAGACTAGTGCAGCTTCTGCCAACATACGTCATCTCATGAATTAAACGCAATGTCCGACTATTGATTAGTTGAAATTTGTACTGCATAATAGTCCTCTTCATCCTTCTTTATGAATGTGCTACATGGTCATTGAAAGTGTAACATACAAAAAGGCTAGTTGTCTTTGATCACAGATGTTTGTGGTCCGTTTCTTGTGTTAAGTGATATCACATTGTAAGTAATATTGACGTTAGGCTTGAGGTTGTAAAGGCTAAATCGGACTGAGATAGCCAGGGCACACATGTTACGTATACCGAGCAATAGCCTTCTTCGTTGAACAATATTAGCTCTCATTGGATTAGGCTGAAAAAGAGTTAGTGGTGGTCAGGTTACAACATGGAATCATTTCATGAAGCTTTTAACTTTTGGTTCGAACCATGTAAGGAAGCTGGGGGTCTTCGAGACTGTCGGTGATGATATTTCCTCAAAATCGTCCTTTCAATGCAACAACTTGGACTGCTGCACTTCCGTGCAAAGTTTTAATCCGAACCTCAATCACAGTCAGTTATGCTCTCCTGGAGATCCGGAAATGGGTCATATTGTGCATACATCTAACTGAACACGCATCTTGGAACACAATATTTGTCTTCATTCAGACACCTCTTCCATGTTTATGTATCTGAACAAAGCATAAACAACAGTTTGATCAGAGTAAGCTTACATTATTTTATATCGATGAAGAAAGAAAGAATAATACAAGCTCGTTTTATTTCATGGACTCTCTTCAACTGCGTACATCCTAAATAAATCAATTTTACGATGCAAAATGGTATCTGAACATACATTTTACAATGATTTCAAGAAATAGATAGAAAGTATAAGCAACATAATTTCAAAGATGATGTAAGTAGACAATTATTTAGTGTCAAAAGGGTAACTATTTATATAGTAATTCCATATTAGTTTGTTTATTAGATATATCACACAGTGAAACAGTATTATTTACTGGGTGACGTTTCGAACAAAATTTATTGTTCATAATCATATCAATTGTAGTCACACGACTTTGACTCTTGAGTTTTATAGTTTTCTTTGTTCTCTCCTACTTGCCGTATGGGTAATAGAATTTTCCAGATATCGAGGACAGGTGATGAATCATTCCTATTACATGTATTTGTAGTTGATTCGATAAACAAAGCTTCTGTTACCAATCTCTCCCTATACCCTGTAACATTAGATTTTAAAACTGTCATCCTATCCCATCCTATTGTATGGTCGTGTGTAACTGCATGTAGTGAGTGCTATAGCTGAACTATTCTCTAGATTTCTTATCTTATTCGGGTCAACCAATCTAGATTTTGCTAGGTTTATGTGTTCAGCTAGTCTGACTGCCCCTGTTCTACTAGTTTGACCTATGTATTTGACCTGACAGTCGTTCCAGCAGGGTATTAGATAAACTAAATTGTTTTGTTTTAAAGGCTCTACAGGATCCACCATTTAACTGACAAAGCTTGTTTCTAAATGAGTTTGTGGGTTTGAATGCCATTTTTATTCCTGCCTTGTTAGGAATTCTGCGTAACGCTTCCGAGGTTCCTTCCTTGTATGGAATTACTACTGATGATTTAAATTCCTTATTGTTGGTGTCGTCATTAATATTATAGTTATTACTATTATTATTATTATTATCACTATTATTATTATTATTATCACCATCGCTACTATCATTATTTATTTATTTATATAGTAATTAGACAAAGGGAGTTCAGTTCAGATTTTACTTGGAAACAAGGATGGACTAGAAGACAAAATATGAGAGAGAACAACAGAGTTAATTTATACATAATATGGTGGAGAGTTCAGGAGGGTAGGGGTGATTAGTGAAGTAAAATTATAAAATAGATAAAGTAATTTAATTTAGTAGATTTGGAACCCTAATAGTGAGTTCAACTCAGTGAGTGAAAATCAAACTCAAGACACTGGAATGTCATGCAACGGAACAAAGTACAAAAGCACACGAACAACACAATTACGGTTACCAGGATAGTGAGAGACTAGTTGCGCTACCTTTCAGCTGAAAAAGAACCATTTGATCTACTCCAGTAATTCAACCCTACCTTGTAAACTACATTTTAATCTCAAAACTCTCCAGTTTCACTATCCATATCCATTATTAGGCACATTGTAACCGACTATTTACATCATTATGTTTCAACGTTGAAAAAAACCCATGCCGTTGATAATAATGATGCGTAAACTGTGCCTCAATATAGATTTAGCTGTGATTTCACTTAATGTGAAAGGCATAAGGCAAATTCAAGAAATAAAATCCAGAACTTCATATGAATACTTTTGAATTTTTGAGTCTTTTAACGAAAAGCTTTTGAAGGCATCTTAGACTGGAAGTCATCAAAACGGATGTGATGTTTACTATTTTCACAGTCGAACTATTCAACACACTGAACTATGCAGTCTTTCAGAAAATTTTTCTCAGTACAAATACCTTGGTGGTACAACTAATTTATTGACCTTTCAAACTCATAAACAGTAGATAATCCTGATAATATGAATACTGTGGTAGAGTATACTGTCTGATGTAGAACAGAACAACTGACCTCTTACATTTTCAACCAAACAATACCGATTCTCATGTTCAATATAAAGAGCTAACTAACTACATTCAATCTAAGAAATTCGTAGGAAAAATGTCGATGAAACTAAACTAACATACTTCTGAAGGTTTGCAGAATAACCAAATCTAGTTAACTTGAAGTTAAACTTTCATATTTATCCCATGTATATATAAGCTGTCGTGAGATATGCTCAATAAGCCAAGCAACGAAACGCCACAGAGCACTTTAATTTCATAGACTTCAATCAATACTTGCGACATTATTTTTTTAAATTATTCCTTCACGTTCCTTTTGGAACATAGGGCTTCAAGCTAGAGGCTTGAAGTTTCTGTAGCAGTGTTTGTTTTTACAGGATGGGGTTGCTAGCCTCATGCCCAACCTTTACTCTTCACCAGTTTTATTTCTGGCTTAGATAGGTGAAGGAGTGCATCGGCCGGGTATCGAACCCCGGACCATGTGCATGGTCGGCAAGTGTCCTAACCACTGTGCTACCGAGGCACTATACTTGCGACAAATTCACATATATTTAATCGAACCTCAAAGAAGGTTATATATGACTTGAATGACCTAGTGGTAAAGTCTCTAGTTACAGTATGCAGGTTCGAATCTTATGGGAAAGATGAATCACCTCAGGTCTATAGAAATCCTCTGTTAATAAGTGCTAGACAGAGGAAAGATTTTTGCAGTACCAAGGAAAAACATGGCACCAACCCACGAAGTCATTGAGTGTTGGCCTGAGGTCACGTAAGGAAACGTACATTGCCTGTGAATGGGAAGGATTAGAGGTTCAAGACTGTTAGTGATAAGGCTTAAGATTACACACAGTGCCGCAGATATGTTGATTTCTTGACATTATCCAGTTTCTGAGGATTGTTACTAATCTTCGTTAAATTATTTCCTTCGCCAAAATAATGTTTGTTTGCCGTATTAGCCTCTAGTTTCAGTTTTTTTTTAATTTCACGTGCTTTTCCGAAATGTGTTAACTTTAAACGACGCATCCTGCAGTTGCTCAGATCGTGGAAAAGAAAGCGCTAGATCTAAAAAGGGTGTCCGGTGATCAATAACAAACAGTCTAGCTCATCTCTTCGTGTGAACTTTCGTGTCCCTCTTGTATCATGATCCTTATTATTGATAAAGTGTTTCAACCGTCATCTGTATGTAGCTTGTAATTTGTAGTCTGTTACAGCTTGTTTTATCCCTTATTGTCTGTATTATCTATTACACACACACACACACACAATGCTGATCCGAAAGCCTCTTGTCCGTAAGGAAATATAATATGTAAAAATTTTCAGGTAACAAGCAAAACTAGTAAACACCACTTACCTAAAATAATACCGAAATTTACAGCAGTTTTAGCCGTGTCTATCGCATCTTTTCTGTGTCTACGCATTTCTTTATGATCATAGTATTCACGTGTGAATGATTTATCATATGGATCATAACGATAAGCATCTAACAATGGATTAGATATCATAATAGATTCCAAGTGGAAGCGACCGTCGCCTAAGTAAATTAAAGCATCAACACCTCCCACCTGCAAAAAAGGGAGAGAGAGAGAGTGAGCGAAAAACACAATACAACAGTTTGAAAAATATCAAAGCCGGATAAACCAGTTGATATATAAAAGATAAATGAGATATTAGGGTGAGTTTTGTCACGAACAGAAATCAATTAGAAAGTCATTGAAAACAAGGGAGAATTGGATCACTGTTCATTAGTAACTGATTATGTGATGAACTTCCTGGAGTTGCAATGAGAATTTGGGATAGGAAGAGTCTACCATTTCAGGTAGGAGGACAGTTACTCACCAACAGCATTGGTTGGCGGTGGTGCTATGTCGCAAATTGACAGGACAGGACACTGGATTCAAATCGGGTTGCTGGATGTTTATCACTCCTCATAACCTGAAGTTGCTGTATATTACATTCCTAATGGTATCGATGATGAACACTGCTGTAGAGGTCTACGCTAGAACGAACTAACCATTGCTTCCTGGATTTTATTGGTTCTCTAACTCATGTATATTCTTGACAATATTCACATTGACGTCAATCAGAAGTGGACAATAATCTCAAGTAGCAATTAGGCACAATTTTAACGGAACATGATAGTGACTTGAATAAATTTCATTAGAGACACAGAATGAAGGTATCTTTTGCAGTTTTACAAAAGTTTTCACTTTTAATCAACAGTTGATGCCAATTTATTAGTCTCAGTGTCCCCAAAATTGATGCCGCATGTATGATCAGCTTAGCACTAAAGATATAATTGCCAATATAATTCATTTGATATACGGAGATCAGATGAAAATTATTCACAATTTAAATCTTGCATTCAGCATCTCCTGTGGTGATTCAGTTACGATTTAGGTGAATTCGTTACTTATGAACACTGCTTTATGAAACTGATTAAACTCTTTTACAGCTCTACACAATCTTAACTAAAAAGTGGATAGACACACATTAAGATATTCGCAAATTTGATGAGAGAAACAGTGAACACCAGAGTACATCGAACAGTATAAGTGCTTTCTAATCTAATCTATGATTTCTATGTATAGACTTCGTATTTAAGATGCTGTATACTACTGATGGTTATAAATAGATAAAAAATCACTAACTTCAGCTGACAGTGACCTAAGCACCAGCTTTTGTATCCTTGCTAAGGCTTCCTTAGCAATCACTTCTTTAGGGATGAGGAGTTACTCCACAAATAAATGGACTAGACAAAGTTGACTGATAACAACATGTTGCTAAGTCATCTGAAAGAAGTTGGATTATGAGAGAACTAGAAATTAGACGCGTTTATTCTTATATATTTGAGTAGCCTAACAATATGCTGGTTAATTTGAGTTCTAGACAACGCGTTCAACAATTTTACTGAGTATCGTTAAAAAATGAATCGGTGCAGATCAGACCTACGGCATACTTTAGATCAACGAAACTGTACTGATAACATATCAAGGACGACCAGGGTCACCTCCAATAGTAGGTCTATAATGCACAGTGACGCCTATCCCTGGCGGACACCACCGGTTGTTGTTAACTCACATAAAAACTCTTCATAAGCTCCCATTTAGTATTGTGCCTTGATTAGTATGACACAATTCCTTGGAGTCTCATTGAGTGAGAAGTTGCCACAACATATCTCGGTCGACGGAGTCAAATGCTGTCTTCAGGCCAAGAAGTATGGGAATTGTTGAAAACTGATAAGTGGGTCTGTGTTCCGCAACCTGTTAGAAGGTAAGCATCTGATGGATGTACCCTAGTTGGGCCTGAAGCTCGCCTTATTGCCTTGTGTTTGCTTTTCACGAGCCCCACCAAGTAGTTCTCGCAGTACTACGAAATCAAGTATCTCAGATACTGTGTTAGTCAAGCTGATTCCCCTGTGATTTTACAGGGAGATTTGTATCCTACCTTATAGACTGGGACGATCAACAATCTATAGTATTCCAATGGAACTCTGCTATAGATCCCCAAACAGTAGCTAATAATTTACTTAACCTAGCCAATGAAGTCATTAACATTAAACTTGAACAACTTTGGAGTCATAAAATCAGGTCCAACCGTTTGTGCTTTGCATTTCGGATTGTGAGGGCGATTGTTAATTCCCGGTTGCCCACACCGTGGAAGTTGGTTGTGTGACCACAGAGCCCAGGGGACAACTGCTTGAGGCCGGTCACACGCGGCCTGTTTTTGTTTGTTCTTTTTCTTTTGGTGTGTCTCAGTAGCATATTTACCACTTCTGCCCTGTGACACGGCAGCAGGAAGCGCGATCGTTGTTAATCCGGGCCCCAACCGATCCGGCATGATATTTTGTGATTTACTTTGAGTCATAGCATTGGGTTGGGTAACTGCTTTTTGTCTAAACGTTATCCAAACAACCTTTCTGGCATGGTAGGACCTCAAGCGACATAAGTCGCAGCCAGTATAGCTTGTTGGGTCATTGCGGTGTGCTTAGTTTTAGACTGGAGATAATTTTCGCAACATCGGTTACGGTTGGAGGACAGATGTCTGCATCACATTCAAGCTGGGATTAGACGGCGGGCAACAGTAGTACATCTGCAAGCTAATTTAACTGTCTCTTGAAGCGTTCTGTCTGAGTTTCCAACCATCCTTTCTTGGGAATTCATTAAAATACCATGCTTCTGGGACCTCATTTCGTTTTTAGAAACCATCTTCCCAATTAGCCGAAATAGTTGACGGTTAGTACTTATTGCTGACGACTTTTCCATTTTTTTCTCTTTTTGATAACCTAATACTATTTACAGTCATCGCGAAGACTTTTAGCCAGCTTATAATCACTTATACTAATGCATTTTTAGTTGTGGTTAATGCAGCTAGTATTGTAGTAAGTTTATGTTAAGCAAATAAATAAATTCGTTTTAAATTTACAGCTTCTAAAAGTTTAACTATTTTATGCAATATCTGTTTTACTTTTATCTGATTTATACTAGGCTCTGTGTTCTAAAGCTTGATATTGAAACTGAAATTATAACTCTAGTGCAATGGAATGAGTATGCATTGTTTCCATGTCAATTTTTGAATAAATTGCAGCTACGCATTAATCATCCATACATTGCTGAATATGTAAACACTATAGCAGTAATTTTCTGCCTCATAACTCACTTTAGGCGATGTGCAACCAAGTATTTCACCAGGAGATAACGGTAAGCATTGTGGAATAACAACTGAATAACCAGAATCCAGTAAAGGTTGTTTAGTGGCTTGCAAACTGGTTACAAATTGAATTGTCGAGACAAGTGCTAAACGCGAAGACTTTTCAAAGTTGGCTTTTATACTATCTACAAAGTGAGCAATGTCAATTTGAATATCGACAAATATATACCTGTGTATGAATGGGAAATCAAAGGAAAGAAAATATTTAATCGTTATCGAAATACATGCCTTATTTCCCATGTTCTATATATGGAGAATAATCTGGAAATAACACATTAGTAATCCCAACTTTCTCTCTTAACTTATTATTATTTTATTCCTTTGCGCTCCCAGTGCAATGTGATGCTTCAAGCTACAGTGTTGAAGTTTCGGTGGCAGTGGTTTTTATTTTTACGGAGTGGGGTTGCTAGTCCCACGCCCAACCTTCTCTCTTTACCGGTTTTACTGAGGGTTTAAAGAGGTTTAGAAGTGCGTCGCCGGGGACCGAACCACCGATGCACCACTCTCAACTTAAAGTAACGAAACTCCAGAACCACACATATCTTAGCACAGCTGGCAAATCGTGAGGGCTGAAGACACTACATAGCTGCTCACATCATAGTAGGTACAGGAAGGTTGAAATCCGTGGCTGAATGGTTGGAAGTGGATCGCTAAAGCGCTGTCAGTTTCTAATCATTATGCGTAAAAATTAACATCATGAGGCTTGACTTTATGAAATGTCAGTACCTCTTAAGACTTTACATGATATCTTTTAATCGACCCGACATATACAAACAAAAAAACTCTTTTTGAGTAGGGGTTCTGTTGCTATTCCTTGAGTTTGCATTATTATAGAAATGTTTGTTGAATGTGTATGGGACTAGAAGCAGTCATTGCTATAGAATTGGTAGCTTATCTGAAGACGAGGACCAGGAAAAGAATTCATAGTGGCTACGTGGAGTCTGACATCATTATGTTTATTTCATTAGGTGATCAACGTTTGAATTGTGTTGCCAACCTACCCTTCACAGTGATAGTCAAAAAGGATCAGTCTTTAAAGCCCACATAATTTTTACTTCTTAGTAACCCTTGCCTTTTATATCTTCATTTGTAAAAACTACAGTGAGATAAAAAATATGTGAAGAAACCACTTTCTCCCTCAAATACTCTGGGCGAGCATCAATTTTCAATATGAGCAACCATGTGGTACCAACTGCTGACACGTTTCCAAGAACGCACAAATACATCTTTATCACGTCAGTATTTAGTTCTCACAGAATCTTTTTTGTTGACTGAATAACACATTCAAATAAAATATAAATGTCACTTTTTAAAAGTTTATTCCTGTGTGAAATTTACGCACCCAGGAATTCCAAAATAAAACTAACTGCCTGATTCAAGTATCATTTAAAATAGAATATCAATAAATATATTTGACACATGAACTTACAGGACAGAAAGAGAATCCAATGGTATTAAACAGCTGTGACCATAATGTACAAGTAGGTCAACATTGAGTGCTTTCGCAGTCAAATCTTCAATACAACAAGCACCATATGTAACATCACCTAAGATAACAATATCAAGATCCTTTATGTTTCCATCAGCGGCAATATTGTTGTCGGGGAGGTCAGATTCCGAAGTCCGATTAATACGGACGAAGTAGTTTTGGATGACTTCAGAAATTGGTATGGCGAACAACAATAGACCTTCTGGCATTTGCAATGCGATTCTTTTAGCACGTAGGGAGTGTATTCTCCATATGGTTTTATGAATTTCAAAATTGTAGTGGGCTGGTAAACGTTCGGATATAGATTTGTTCAATAGGACATCATTCAGCAACCAATCTGGTATTTTCCATGGAATAATACGTTTTGTCGGCATCTGTAATTTACAAAACTTCATATAATTTAAGATATATACCACTTGTAGAATCCATAGTACAGAATAAAGGAAATATTAAGAAGGCAGGAGTTATATCTTTAAACCGTGGTGAACGGTGCAGAATTCGAAGCGAAGTATACGTCAAGAGAAGTTCGCCACTATGTGCGGCAGCAGGGTTATATATATCAAGAGAAATTCAATAAAGTTACCAGGCTAACTAACAGCTACCCACCAAAAATATGTATATTCTCGGGGGCACTTATCTGCATTAGTCATAGATCAATTGACCGGAGTTGGATAAAACTATGTGATAGATTGAGTGGCTTATTAAGTTGAAGATATGAAAAGATTAGACATCCTTGACCACGGTTGTTTGATTTTAATCTCATACCGCGTGCAACAACATGGTAAGTAATAGTGGAGTCAGGTGTAAAATGTTAGGTAAGGTGGGAAAGTCGGTTAATGAAATTTGAGATAGTTAGGACATGTACTGAGCAATGTTGACTAATGTATAGCTAGTTGAAACGGCTATGAATATTCAAAACAAAACAAGCAGCTATCCCATGAAGTTCTTAACTTTCATACATTTGGTTCCCTTGATAAATTTGGTCTGGTCTTTCTTTCTCTATCGAAAGTTCTTAACTGTTGGTGTGAACCACTTGGATAGGTGAAGACTACCTGACTAGAGTCATAAGCATCCTAAGAGCCAGGAGTTGGAAACTGTTGGTAGCACAGCTGTAAATCGTCCGCAGTGGTGTAGGTGTTCATTACTTTTTGTCATCCAGATTCATAAAATCGTCACCAATCTTCACCTAATTGTTTTTTTCTCCACACGTCTTTGTCCAATGTAGATTTGTTACATTCATTTATTCAATTTTATTTATGCTTTTTCATAAGTGTAACAACTTGAAGTGATACATATTTGTGAAGACCTCCAGGTTGATAAGGCATTCAGTCAACAGTAAACTAAATACTCTATGTGAAACAAAATTCGTGTAAAATAAAGGCCAATCAAGCTGTAACCTAGTGGCTGAGGTACTTGCCACGTAAGGTGATGACAAATATTTGTAGTTAAGATGATAGACGTTTAAACAGAGTTCTTCCAGTCAGAATTTGGGTTCAGAAATATTTCTTCGTACTAAATAAATAGTCACACTTCTCTTTTGAGGAGAAAGTCACTACTACAGGATTTTCGCCTATTTAGAAGGCAAAAGGATTGAGCGAATAAGTACTTCTCAGTTAAACCCCCATATCTGATTCTACTCTAATGTATATAACATTTTTAATACAATACAAAACATTTTTATCAATCTAGTGGCGATGTGTTTGTTAACAATAATTAGTTGGTAGTGTCGGTAGCACAGTGGTTAGGACTTTCGCCGACCATGCACATAGTCCGGGGTTCGATCCCTTGCTGACGCACACCTGATATCTATGATCGGCCTGCAAAATTTGGGCTACCGATATCATATGCTGAAAATTCCATACTTGTACCAAAAATACTGTGTGGTTTCAAGCTCTAATCAAAAATCAAAAAAATATCAATATTTCAGAGGGGTATTAATTAACCAAGAAAATAAATACAAACAGCTTTCGTCTTTAAAACATTTTTCTACTGATATGTCCATGCAGACGACTCCTGCAACATCATTCTGCCTTTGACAAAGGTATATCACATGCCAGACACACCTACGTTCTTAAGCTAGGTAATAATAAGACTGCAAAAGTTTTTAAATAAAAAGGCTATACAGCTTAACTTGTTTCCCCCTAGCAAGTTAATTTCTGAGACACCAAAGTCAACCAAGTTCACATTAGTCAGTGCGTTTGTGGTGAGGTTAAATAAGTACATCCCAGAAGTCACAGAGTGTGTTGTTGCCACACTAGACGACAGCTCATCATAAATCCTTACACAGCTTCATGCGTCTGAAGAGTGCCTTAATATAGTAATATACATCTTCAGTACGCCATATTACAACATTGACACATTCCAACTGAGAGGGTTAAATGCCGCTTTTAGATTAAGAATCATCCTAAGTACTGTAAGTATGCCAATGTACTAGAAAAAGAAATGGCCACCGTACTCTCATTTGGGTTTCAAGCCAATTCGGCTTTTATAAGTTAAATTAGCCTTCCTGTGATTACAACAGATACTAATAAAGATGGAGAACATAGCCTTATGTAGTACACAAATACGTTCAGCTAACAAACACTGTTTCGTGTTTTCTCCTAGTAACTTGTTGAAACACCGGTTAATTTCGAAGGGTGGAAAGAGAAATAGTCCCACATGGGTTTCTTAAACGTAAAATTATACAATGATTAGGAAAGGAGGGTGAGGTGTACTAGCTTAAGCGCACAAGTGAGATGTAACTAACATGTGTATGTGACAAAAATCAGAAATTGCTGCAACTCATCTTAAGGACCTTTCACGAAAAGACAACACTATCAGCGGGACGGTAACCATAATGCAGACAATATGCCAGCCGGTTCCTTAGAACGCTGATTAGAGCACTGTGAACAACAGTTCAACTGATAAACAGCGTCAATGTCCTTTGAAGCAATATGCCTAATGATCTGCTAAGGATGACTTACCAAAGTGCAGGAAGTTAGAAAAAAGCCTTAGTTACTTAGGTATAATGAGGCACCACTAAAGGGTATAGGCAATATAAGTATAATTGAACTAAGTACCTTTGCTATTCCTTATACAAATAGAAATTCGATACAGTGCGGGGACCAAGGAATGTACCATAAAATGATATAACAGCAGCAGGAAGTAGTTTCGAGGCCAACAGAATCGCGCCTGCGTAATTTGCACGTCCCATTTTTATTACCGCTGTTTTGTCGGAACATCGGTCCTAATGCCTTGGGTATGTGTTACAAATGTCATCCTAAAAACTAATATGGCTTTTACAGGTCGCTAGCTGTCAGGCAAATTGAAATAATAATAATTCTCAAACTCCTGATCACAGAATCTTCTTGTAAAGATGGGGAAAATGGGACAAAACATTGGTGTGATTAATTGGAAAATATTGGGTAAGTAATCGTCCGCTAAAGTTATTGACTTAGGGAAAGTTGGAAATTGTTCGTCAACAGGTGGTACATGTAAGAAAACGTCAGCCTATAAGGACGAAACCTGAAGTTAACTTTATGACTTGAAACTACTTTAATCGATACTCGCAGAGTAGGTAGAAGTCACCAAGTAGTTTTGATGTGTTTTACTGTAGTAAAAAAGCATGCTTCCAACCAAACCAGTCGATAAAAAAATAGTAAAACAATAAAGTGCAATACAAGGAGATAGACTTCATAAAATTAGCGTGAATTCCACTCTTTATATACAGGCAAATAGAGAAATCGCGACTAAATCCATATTCGGAATTTATACGTGATACACCTATTACTGAATAAAAAGCGACTTGACATACACTACAGGAGTTAGCTGGCGGAAGGCAGATTTCTAGAGCTTCGACCAACATGCACACTTTTATTCCGTTTGAACTTATTACTGTTTCACATCCTTTTAAATAGTCTTCTACCCCATTGAGCGAGTTGAAAGTTGCAGTATATTTGCGGGTGCTTTGTTCTATAAGTTGTTTTTATTTACTTAACAATTCACAAAGCCCGAAATCGCCTAAGACCATTTATTACTTATTTGAGGGTGTTTTATCGACCAGAACTGGTCTGAGAAAAGGGGAAATTCTCTGCAACTTTCCATTTATTTCTCTCCCTGGAAGTCCCACTTTTATCCCCCTCTTTTCCGACTCTCCGTCGGTGGCACAGTAGTTAGGACTCTCGCCGACCATGCACATGGTCCGGGGTTCGATCCCCTACCGACGCACACCCGATATCTACGGTCGGCCTGCAAAATTTGGGCTTTACCTTTGCTACTGACATGCCAATGTATTGTTGTAATAATGAACTGTGGTTTCCTCAATCTATGTAAAATTCTATTTATTGATAATGTACTAACTGGATGCAATACTGTAGTAAAAATGCTGAGAATTCTATTCTGTATCACAAGTACTGTTTTGGAATAAAGCAAATTATTATTATTATTATTATTATTATTATTATTACCGATATCCATGCTGAAAATGTCATACTTGTACTGAAAATACGGTGTGGCATCAAGGTGCTATCGAAAAAAAATATGTTTCTTTCCAACTTAACTAAGTTATGATCTCGCTTATTTATGAATCCGTTTATGTCAGTCACTAACGCAATCTCACTTGTAAGCATATGTATACAGAACATTAGCACTTAATTTACCTAGTGTAACGAAACCATACACTCCATTGTGGATAATATTTTATTTTGATAAATCACAGTCTTATGCAGTAATATACAGTTAATATTACTATGTAATACTGTGTGATTCATCAGAATAAAATCCTATCCATAATGGAGTTATACTCTACCACAGTGCCCAAGTTTTATACTTATATGAAACCATAAACTATATAAATAAACACTGATCAATGCTTTCTCTCCTTACAGGAAGACACTTAGAAGTTAATTGTCATGCACTACAAATGCAAACAACCGCATAAACGATGAAGTCCGTTACTATTACTGAGCTCAATAACGTTTTGTAACAGGCAACCAGCAAGCACACAGATAATGATAGCAGAACGCGAACTGTGCAAGAGAGAGTTTATTCCACAAAATTGGTTTTTAAAAAGTGCGGGCTACAGTTTTTGGGTATAGCGGTTTTACTGGGCTTCATTAATTTTTAAGTTCTGCAACTCATGTATCTTCTGGTCCAGGCAGTTGACTCCCGGCTGTCTTCCTGCAAGTGGAGAAAATAAAACATTGATTAGTACTACAATATAGGTTTCGTTTCTATTACACTGCCCCCTTCCTCTGGGGGCACTGTCCTCAGTGCTCAAGGATGGAGTTGGGTAGTCTGTAGTTTCAACGGCTGGGACTTCATGTTGACAGCTGGCGGGTGGTGGTTCATCGTGGAGGGGATGATTATTGGGGGAAAAAATGCGATGCGGCTATAGCTGATTATAGTGGGCAGGAATAATATCACCATTCGGTTGCTGAATATTTTTCAAGAAGTTGTAGGTGGACACACCCGCATGATCTCAAACGGTCCGTGCCACGGGGAGGGGAATTTTGCATTTGGTCTAGGCTGACGGTGAAGCCAAACATGATCACCGACAGCCTAAGTTGGGCCACGAGCGAAACGGTCATACACATTCTTCTGATGGTAACTTGACGCCTTTTGTTGCGTGCGCGCCAGATCGTAAGCAATTGCCAAACGGTTGCGTAGTTGCCGGACATAAGCGATATGGTCAATCTTTTCAAAGGGTAGGGAAGGAACTTGGACTTCGATAGGAAGGCATAATTCTTGACCGTACAGAAGTAACGCAGGGGAGAAACCTATGGAGTGCACGGAAGAACGATAAGCCAGGAGACATTGAGGTAGTGTCTCATCCCAAGCGTCAGTTGATAAGCGATCGAGAAAAGCACGTAGGATATTCTTGAGTGTTCAATTAGCACGTTCCACCAAGCCGTTTCCTTCTGGGTGGTAAGCAGTCGTGCGTGTCTTACGAACGCTAAATACGTTGCAGATGTGATGAACCAGTTGGCTTTCAAAAACAGCACCTTGATCTGAATGCAGTGAATGAGGGGCACCAAAACGAGTAGTGAACGCCTGGGCTACGCTATTTGCATAATGTCATTGTAAAGGTACGGTTTCACATCACTTTATAAAGTAGTCAATCATCACTAGGATATATCGGTTACCTCTTTTGGTGGGTGGAAGTGGTCCCATTATGTCGATCCCGACGCGCTGCTTTGGCGCTTCCGTTAGCATAGGTACGAGGGGTGCTCTAGGCGTTTGCGTAGGCTGTTACGGCTACAGAAGTCGCAATTTTTACAAAACTCGATCACATCTCGGTGAAGTAACGGCTACCAGAAGCGTTGACGGATGGCGTGTTCAGTTTTGTGTTGACCAGCATGCCCAAGTTGGTGGTATACTTGGCTAATAAGCTCCTGTGCTTTGGCGTTTGGAACGAGGAGTCATGGGTTGGAATTCGGTCCCACTGTGTAGGGGACGTCGTCTATTAAACGAAGGAGACCCCATTTACCACAGATGCTCCTTGTAGCTGCTGGCAGGTCCCATAATTCTTTGAAAGTCGGCTTACTGTTGCCATGCTGTTGTCGTAAATAAATAGGTTGTATTTCTGTGTCTGCCGCTTGTAGAGAGGCCCAGTCAATATCAGCTGTAGCACCAAGTAATACGTTTACTGTGGTTTCACAGTGTGGCAGGCGTGAGAGGGCGTCGGCGTTACCATGTCGGTTTCCGGGCCGGTATTCACAAGTGAAATCAAACTCCTGTAAACGTTCCTGCCAGCGGGCAAGTTGGCCTTCGGCATCACGAAAGTTCTGCAGCCACTGTAACGCCTTGTGATCAGTCCGGACGCGAAATTAGCGTCCCAGCAAGTAACGGCGAAAGTCAGTGAGAAAGTATACAAAAACTAGCATCTCACGACGCGTCGTAGAATACCACGTCTCTCTTTTGTCTAGCATTTGGTTAGCATATGCTGTCACTCGTACTTGTCCGTCAGAGGTTGTCTGTGAAAGGACGGCTTCTATTGCGTGCGCACTGGCGTCAGTATCCAGGACAAACGGACCGCTATAAGCCGATGTGTTTAGAAACGCTGAAACAGGGGGAGAAGTTAGGCATGTTTTAAAAGTATCAAAGGCAACCTGGCACACGTTTGTACAAATGAATTTCCGTCCTTTTTCGGTCAATCGATGGAGGGGGGCTGTTATACTGGTGAAATTTTGAAAGAAACGCCGGTAGTAAGAAGCAAGCCCCATGAAACTGCGTACGTCAGCTGTCGATTTAGGGGTCAGCCAGTTGACAATTGCTTGGGTTTTGCTACTATCTGTGTGCACTCCTTGTGGAGTAATTTCATGTCCAAGGAAAATAACAGATTTCTGCAGGAATTTGCATTTTGAGGCATGAGGCTTTAAGATTACTCCTGCGTAAACGTTGAAATACGACTCGGAGGTTGGCATGGTGTTCTTCGAGAGACTAGCCGAATACGATGATATCGTCCAGGTAGATGAGGCACTGTTTGGGGACTAGTCCTGCAAGTACTGTTTGCATGAGCCGTTGAAACGTAGCAGGGGCATTAGACGGGCCAAATGGCATGGTTTCGAATTCATACAACCCCGTAGGCATAACAAACGCAGTTTTTGGGCGGTCTTCCGGACGAATTTCAACTTGCCAATAGCCGAAAGATAGATCTAATGTGGAGAACCCCTGTGCCCCACCCAAAGCATCTAAGGTAGCGTCTATGCGAGGCAAGGGAAAAGAATCCCGTTGTGTGATTGCATTTAAACGACGGTAGTTGACACAGAGACGGAGAGAGCCATCTTTCTTTTTCACGAGAACGATTGAAGATGCCCACGGTGAGGTAGACGGTTTAATTACCTTCTTTCGTAACATGTCTGTTATCATGGTGTCCAACTGCTTTTGGTAGTGAATGGGTACCCGTCGCGGTGGCTTCCTAATGGGCAAGTTATCGCCTGTCTTGATCTCGTGTGGTACGATATTAGTCCGCCCCATCACTTGTCCATCGTCAAACACATCACTGTACTCATGTAGCAGAGCCAGAGTGTCGGTACGGTCTTTAAGACTGAGGTGGGGGTTATCATGGATGTTCACCAGTCATCTGGGGTAAAGCACAAGCATTAGCACACTGATGTGACTGACTGGTCGACCGAATTACTTACTTTACTTTACTTCGGCTATCTCCTACGGGAGGATGAGCCGGCTTCATGAACTTCTCGAATCATCGCTGCCCAGGCACGGCGATCTGATGCAAGGTTTTGCGACAGGGTTATCCAATTCTTGTTCCACAGACGGAGTCCGTAGACGGTCAGTAGCCCCAGGCACTCCATATCAGCCTTGACTGTACCATGGTCGACCGAATGCGAGGTTATGTGTCCACACCAGGATTCGAAGGCGTCTTAGGTCAATGAGGGCGTTTTGGCCAGTTAAGAAGTCCACGCCCAGTATGGCGTCCCATCGTATGACATTACAAATGACGGACTCACCGCAGTGAAACCTTGGAAAGTCATGGAAAGGTTGGCAGGGTCTGTTACCTCGATAGGGACTCCATTGGCAGTAATTAGCTGCAGCTGATTGGTAAGAGGTTTAGGTTCTGTCCAAAGGCTCTGAACCAATTTTGTGTGGACAACAGAGGTCGATGCCCCGGTGTCAACCAGAAAAGTTACGTTTACGCCCTGAAGTCTACCCTCAAGGATAAGGGGATATTTCAAGCATTTGCCAAATGAAGATATATTAGAAGATAGCTCACCTTGAGGTTTTTTATTGTGCCGGCATTTCCATGCTCTGCGCCCGAACCGACGACAGTAATAGCACTTGCTGGGGTCATCATTCTGTTTGGGAGGAACTGTGGGTGGCATTGTAGATTGGTTGGATGATGAAGCATTGGGGTGGCGTTGTTGTGGGGCTGGGACGGTTGTCCTTCGCTCAGTGGTCCCGAGAGCATAGCATGACGTACTGGCGGATGGAGAAAGCATGTGCTCTACGCTCTCGAATTGTTTGACCACCTCGAGAGCTTCTGAGATTGATTTAGCTGGTTGGCGGAGTAACTGGCATTTGAGTTCGTGCGATAGGAGACCCTGCGTAAATCGGGTGAAGATAACCTCGTCTCATTTGAAGAATAATACTGTGCTTATCGATACCTTAGAGTTACCTTATTTAGCCAACCGCACGTGAACATACTTCTAGACGCCAAAACTATGTTTTTTCATATCGTGCAAGTGAGCATAATAACTAAGGATCGATAGTAACTTCATTAATCCGTGAAATGCCATCATCAGATATAGAATAGAGTATTCATTTGATAAGAAGCTGAGAAATAATTTTGACTTCTTTCTATTATGCCGCTGAACCATGTGGTACTAACTAATTCCAGCATCCTTATGATCAGTTACTGCTGTATTTGAATGTTTGCATTATGGATATCAAATTGCTTACCTTTTTATGCATCTTATAAGAACTGTTAGACGTGTTCTTCTTGCTTGAATCATTATATCAGTATGTTTCACCGAACTTATCATACAGTATATCAGTCTTAAGTGCATACAACATGCAAGCGTAATGAATATGAGCTACGTATGTTAATCAAAGTGAACACTCGCACTGAACAGAGGATTTATTCAACTATTAACTCACTAGACCTGGCTGATGACATTGCACTAAGAACCCGAAAACAGCTCTGTTGCAGTAGTTCTCATCGAAGACCACAGCGAGTTCACACGGAAAAACCCTAGGCACATACAGTCACCGCTAAATCTAATTTCCCGGAATTCATTATTTATAAGCCTAGCTTACAAAGTGCTCAAAAATTAGAATGTAATCAGTTTTGCGTTTAGACACAATCAGCTTACGCTGCTTAGTCGTATGACGGGTTATCTAAAACCACATAGCTGCTTTAAAATAGTTTCTGCTGAAGGTAATCTCCTCAAACTATTACCTTAGTAAGTAAGTAACTTAATTCTTACAGCAAAGTAAATTTATCCATATCCCTATTAATACAACTGACTCACAATTCAGTCACACAGAGTAAAAACAAATCTACTGAAGACATTGTTGCTCTGATTTCTAGATAGCGTAATATACCATGAGGAAAAAGTTGTACATCCATAGGGTTATAACAGTTAGATGCATGATACTAACTCAAAACAAAGTTCCCAGGTTTCTCAGTTGCAGGAAACACTACGTTACTGTCCATTTATCTAAATGTGTTGGCAAATGTTTTGTTAATTAAGTTTTGAAAACGAAGACTTTTGGTTTGAGGAAAATTCATTTGAAGTTTTTCTAAAAACAGTGTTAAGTCCGTAATTATAGGCACCAAGAAATTACAAATACACTTAGAAAAGAATTTACTCATTTGAACTGAAGCAATTAACTTATATTCTGCCAGAGTTTTCATCCTGAATAATAATCGACATGCCGCAACATCGACTGAAAGTTTGTTTTTGCTAACTGAAAATTTACCTTCAACCAGAGTAGTTCACATACTCAGCAGATCATCTACTTTATAATTCGTTTCCCAATATATATTCAACAACTGTTAGAACAGGCTGTACTATAGGAATTTCTTATTCATGTACTTAGAATAAGTACATTAAGCATTAACAACTATAGGTTACACTTAACCTTTAGGAAGTTTCCGATTAACTACCGGTTTCTTGTTTCCAAAAGTGCGTACAGCTAAAACATTCTCATACTTCAAATGTGGTTTATTCTTGTTTAATTTAGATTCTCCCACAAAATAGTGGATACTTTTTGTTTGATAAAAGACACACTTGTCCTATTCTCACCTCGAAAAATCTGAAAGTTTCTTCAACTTTAGTACGCATTGTAAATTCTCCAGGTCTAATATGTGCTACGCAAACCTTGCCAATGTCAACTCTGACCATTCGCCAAATTGGCGTGTGGATGGTTGCACAATGTGAACATTAACGCGAAAGATTATTTTTTCCAGATTTCTCTAGATTAAGTACCCACTTGCAACAGCAACCAACAAATGAACTGGAGACAATAGCTTATGCTATTAAAACATGTCACTTGCATAATTTCCAAGACTTCCCCACAGTATTAGTAAATTAACAGATGAAAAATAACTAGCTCACTGCAGCCAAGCATGAAAGGGACGTATAGAATAATTACAATGAAATGGATGGACCGATGTGGCAGAAACTTCTGAAGTAAATTAAACAACTGATTTAAGGGCAACGGAAACTAAAAACATGTGAAACCCACACTAATGTATAATCTACATCGAGATAAGCTGCAAATGACTGCAAGAGTCCCTGAACCAATTTTGTGTGGACAACAGAGGTCGATGCCCCGGTGTCAACCAGAAAAGTTACGTTTACGCCCTGAAGTCTACCCTCAAGGATAAGGGGATATTTCAAGCATTTGCCAAATGAAGATATATTAGAAGATAGCTCACCTTGAGGTTTTTTATTGTGCCCGCATTTCCATGCTCTGCGCCCGAACCGACGACAGTAATAGCACTTGCTGGGGTCATCATTCTGTTTGGGAGGAACTGTGGGTGGCATTGTAGATTGGTTGGATGATGAAGCATTGGGGTGGCGTTGTTGTGGGGCTGGGACGGTTGTCCTTCGCTCAGTGGTCCCGAGAGCATAGCATGACGTACTGGCGGATGGAGAAAGCATGTGCTCTACGCTCTCGAATTGTTTGACCACCTCGAGAGCTTCTGAGATTGATTTAGCTGGTTGGCGGAGTAACTGGCATTTGAGTTCGTGCGATAGGAGACCCTGCGTAAATCGGGTGAAAATAACCTCATCTCGGCTCGCAATAGGCAGGGTAGGGAATGCGTAAGACGCAATCTGGCGAAGCTGATGGAAGTAGTCGGTAGCCGTTTCACCTGGTTCTTGACATCGGCTTAAGAATGTGTGCATGTACGCGGAGGTGTTAGAGGTTTTCGCGAAACATTCCTCTAAAATTTGCCAGTTGTAGCTGAGCGGATTGGATGCGGAAAATCCACCAGCGATTGCACGCCGTAACGCGACGTCACTCATTGCTAGCATTATATGATTGTACTGGGTTTGTGGAGGCAGACCTGCGAGAAGGGGCTCCATCCGAAATTTCCACAGCTCATAATCGCTGTTGATGTCCAACGGTGGTACTCGTACAGGTAAGATGTGTTCTGCGGATAGGAAATGTGTATTGGTTTTGTGGCTGGAGATTATGTCAGGAAGTTCGTATGAGTCTGATTTCATATTTAGACTGGATTTGGGACACCAATTTGTAACAGGCAACCAGCAAGCACACAGATAATGATAGCAGAACGCGAACTGTGCAAGAGAGTTTATTCCACAAAATTGATTTTTAAAAAGTGCGGGGTACAGTTTTTGAGTATAACGGTTTTACTGGGCTTCATTAATGTTTAAGTTCTGCAACTCATGTATCTTCTGGTCCAGGCAGTTGACTCCCGGGTGTCTTCCTGCAAGTGGAGAAAATAAAACATTGATTAGTACTATAATATAGGTTTCGTTTCTATTTCATTTACCCTTGAAATAACCATTTGTACTGCCACCTTCCAGTATCCAATATCCAAAATAATTTCTAGCAGCTTTGTAAACGGCTGGACTTATTCTGCACGTCAGTTGTAATTTTGCTTGGTAAATACTTTTTGTGGATAATTTTTAATAAATTTGAATTATATGTTTTCTGGACTCATGGGAACTCACTTGCCTACATGTCATGTTGGTGTCCACGTCATGTGATCTGACTGTGGCACACTCTTAGCATATTCGTGGGAAAGACCCGTGTTTCTGATGAACCGTGGTGAAATATTTCTATCATAATCAGCGTGGGATAGTTGGAGGGTAATTTCATCTACACAAATAGTATAATTTATGCATAGGCTACGCTTTTTGGCATAATATCATTCAATAAAGACATAACATGTCTTAGGATACCAGTGCAACCTATTTTCGTGGGGAGAACAGAACTATTTGACAAGTGAATTCCAAAAGTACATGGAAACCACCTTCAAATGCCAACATAACCTTCTATGTGAAGAGAGATTATGGTGTATACCCGTTTTTCACGTAAATGTTTTTGAACAGTAATTATCGAAGGTTAAAAGGCTTCCAATAAGTGGATTTAATAGATATTTACACTGATTGGTGCAGTGTAATGTGGATTCAGTATGTGAAAAACTCCTCAACTTTACCAATATTGTGCCTGCTTAGTTGAATGCTAGGCTAATAAATATAAGTGATTCTCATGGTTGTTGCAAGTGCAGTGAAGTGGAAGAGATAATCGGTCGTTTGACTTGCACCAGTGTGTTACCTAGTGCATTTACTCGCCATGTTGGATCAATGTGCACATGGACTGTTTTCGTCCTGATATCTTAATCTAGTAAGCTTTATTTTTGTCAGTCTCTTGTCTGTCATACCACTTTCATTAAAACTGTTTACTCAATGTCGGCTGAAATTATCCTGCATGTTCAAGGTCATTGATGGGTGAGACGCTCAAAGGTCATTTTCGTCCATGTTAGTCGGTCATGTTGGATTGCAGTTCCGTAGCCGTTCGTTTACACACTGGTTTTTACGTTTATTCTGCAGTTGTTCACAACTCATCTTGATGCATATTGTTCAAAAATGTGGCTTTTCAACTCATTTTTGTTTCCGTTGCTGTTAAAATTAGTTATTTCGTTGGTTTCGAAAGTTTTTACCACCACGTCAATGCATTCATTTCATTATAATTGTTTCATATCATGCATTCATGCGTGATTTCAGTGTTTTAGTCGTTTTTTCAGCTATTAATAAAATAGTGCTGTGTAGAAGTTTTGGAAAATATGCACGTGAACATGTTTAGCTGACAAAAGCTGTTGTCTTTAGTTCATTTGCTGGTTGCCGTTATTGTTTCTGGCTCAATTGATTACTTAGCATGTTGAAATCTGGAAACTACAATGTCTTTCACATTCATGTTAACAACATGCAGTAATCTACGAGTCAATCTGGTGAGGAGAATACAATCAGGGTTGATATTGGTAAATTTTTCAAGGAGCATATTAAACCTAGAGATTTCAGAACGTGGTTTGAAGTTGAAAAAGCTTTGAAGCTTTTCGAGAAGCTGAGTATACCATCAGTGTATATTATCAGTTAATAAATCAAATATTTTGTCAGAGAATCTAAAACAAACAAGGTTGAGCCACATGAGAAGTGTGAATCTGTTGTGCATGTACGTAGTTTTGGAACTGAAAGAAACTTGAAAGCAATCAGAAACCCATAAATGGTAAGTGTTATCTATTTTTAATAATGCCCAATGTACTAGATCCAAATACATGAACTAGGACTGCCTGTAGCAAAGCCAGTGTTGACAGTCATTCAGTGTGTTGCAAAACGACTTAAAAAGCGGATAACATGATCTGGTGAGTGTACGAACTATCCCAGTTAAAGGTAAGACTTTAATTAGCGAGAATAGTGTTTCGGGTTGTGGTCTACAATCGGTGGTTACAACAAGCTGAGAAGCTGATTATTTTTCGGGTTGAAAATATTGGCTGAATACAGATTGCTTGTTTCATTTCAAATAATGAAATTCCTATTTTTTGGATGTTTGTGATTTCTCCGTGGCTATAAATACGTATGACCATGATCTTTAAGAAAACTAAATAAATTTTCTTAGAACAATTGGTTTTCTTATTCTTGGCGAAACATCTGTTAATAGGATTAGAAGATTAGGCAGCTAAGTAGGATATTTTGTGATTGAGAATCGTAGTCGTGTTTCGGATTAATATCACACTTCTAACTGTTATAACCCTATGGATGTGGGTTGAATACCTCTAAACGCTTTCGTGGAGATTAGGATACATTTATTTTTTCGAGTAGGAGACGATCGTTTTACCAAGAAGGTTCACAGGATGTCCGCTTTTACTTTGAAATTCAAAGATAACGTTAAGTTGCTCACTGAGTTATTAGCTATGGGAGATTACCTTCAGCGGAAACCACTTTAAGGTAACTACGTAGCTTTAGGTAATGCGTCACAGAAGTAAACAGCGTAGGTTAATTGTGTCTAAATATATTAAACGTTGTATAACTGGTCAAATCGTAGCTCTTACATACCGCAGAATGGGGCGATTCACCTTAGTGTCAACCACCATATCTACTGATCAGCATGCGCCACGCTCCCTCCTTTTATGATGTTAGGCTCTGATTGTTATAGTTACAGCAAATATATTGCTTGATTCCAGACACGTTCGTATCTCACATTTCATTTCCCTAGCTTTCTTAGCGAGTGCTTCCAATAGATCTCTACATACAGATTTATGGACATATTATATATAAATAAATAAATAAATTTATTCTCATAGTACAGTACATGAGGGACACCAGTTTACAGGCATCATCAAATTGTCACAGAAATAGAACCATTTAATTCAGTCACAATTTACAGGCAGTAGCAAGATGTGCCTTACATGTTCGCTGGAGATTATACATACACTTGATAAATGTTAGTCCCAGTAGTATAAAACAGCCTTTTCACTTATATACAATCATTTCCGTGCACAGTTGGAAAAATCTGCTAGATTGTCAGTGAGTGCAACACATCAGGAAATACAGAAGTATTGTCTTCGCATTAACAAAAAACCAGGTTTTTGGTGGATGGATTATAAGTGCCTGGGAAAAAATAAAGCTTGGGGTCAATTTTCGTACATAACCTCGTTGTGTGCAGAATCCTTGAATTATAGTTCATTGATGTGTTATTTTGAAATCAGTGATATGTTTATCTCATTTGATCTGCAATGTCATTGTTGGGAGTAAATATATAAGCTTCAGACGCATTAATTAATGGATTTCTACTGCTTGTGGGTATTTTCTTAGCGTGAGGAAGGTTTATGAATTTCAGCTGTTCCGACAGGAGTTGAGAATATTAACTGCTCAGAAACATTATGGATATAAGTTCATCACATTATCTAAGGAAGGGTGGGTTGCAGTTGGTGAGGGATATATGGTGCCCAACGAGCGTACATCTGTCCATGTGATGTTGTGGTGAGTTATACCTTTTTCATGTTGTCGGTTTATGTCCATTTTATTCCACTTATTGTGTTGGGTAGTAGTTTTACAAACGAGATTTCTTGTCTGTTTGAGGATACGTATCTTAACCGTTAATGTTTTATCTAGAATTATAAATATAGGCAAAAAACAACAGGTGTGGTATTTAAGCTTATACATTAAATGGACCTATAATTTCGGAGGCTCTCAGATAAGAACTAGAACTACTCTCGTTTGCAAACTCTTGTAGTTTGTCATTAAGCACCTTTTTGAAGGAGGCCAATGTACTTGCTTGACGCATTTCCATTGGCAGTTTATTCCATATCTGTGCATACCTAATCAAGTAAAACTTTTGCCTGGTGGCTGTTTTACATTGTTCAATAGCTACTGTACCCTTAGTGTGTCTTAGTTTGTAGCCATTGTCATCTGAAAGTCGAGTGCCATTAGTAGAGGTAAAAACTAAGTGGTTTAGAAGCTTATAGTAAAGTGTCAAGTTTAGTCTCAGGCGTCTTAGCCATAGTGTTTCTAGTCCTAGGGTATCACATCTAGTGGAGTAGTTGTGTTGATGAGGATAACAATAACATATAATGCAACCTAGACATTCCATCGTGACACTGCATCCGTAGTGTTTCAGGTAAATGGAAATTTCAGAAGAAATTCATCTCCACTATTGGTGATCGAAAACATTGCAGTATTAAGTTTAGTGTCAGACGGTAGATTAATAATAGAGCTAACTAGATTCAGTTCTCGTAATCAACACAAACCATGTGTATATTATTACTATACACTGAATAATTGCACTAAGTGCAACAGTGAGGAAAATTAAACGAGTTATTGCCTTCTCAAATGCACTGCACTTGCAACAATCACGAGAACTACCTACATTTGTTAGCCTAGCAGACAGCTAAGCAAACAATGGCACAATATTAATACATAACCCATATTATACTGCGCAAATCAATGTAAATATATATTAAATTCACTTAGAGATAACCTTTCAACTTACCATAATTCCTGTCCAAAAACATACAGTGAAAGACACGGCTACATGATAACTTCTGTTCCCACAGAGGGTTCTGTTGGCATTTATAGGTGATTCCCATGTACTGATAGCATTCTTTTGTCAAATAGTACTGCTCTACACACAAAAATAGCTACATTTTGACGTGGTCTTCATTGGATGGCACTATGTCGAAAGCTGCAGCTTCTACAAGAAGTAAACTATTTGTGTTGATGACATTACTCTCCAACTACTCCATCTTCATTATAGCGATGTTTCGACTGATTCCGCATGAAACACTAATCATTACAGCCAATATGCTTAGAGTGTGTCGCAATCAGATTACATGACGCGGACACCAACATAACTAGCCAGGAAATGAGAATTCCTATCAATCCAGAAAACATATAACACATTTTTATTGAAAATTATTGACAAAAAAATTTACTGAGCAAAATTTCAACCAGCATACCGGATAAGTCCAGCCCTCAATGTCTATAGCTCAGTGTTCTTTATCACCAACGGAGATGAATTTGTTCTGGTATTTCCATCTACATAAAGCAGTACAGATGCATCACGACTGAATATCTAAGCTGCATTGTGACACTGTCGTTTACACCAACATAATAGGTCTGCATACCTTTCGACTGGTTGCTCAAGGTCACTGACTCGTTCTTTATGTTGTTTCGTTTTGGGCTGCTATAGTTTAGAATCAATAACGTCCGCGTAGTATACCCTGCTTCTCGAC